TTAATTGTTCGACAGTTTTTGTAGTGAAATAACAATGTTAACATGACTTGTGACTTAAAACTTGAGTAACCGGACAATGGTGTCGACAAACCCTTTAACCAGGAAAACATCTGCTCTGCAATTTCGCTGTTTACACCACGAAACATTGTACCGTGACTTTCATGTTCAGCGCGCATGATAGTATTACAAATGTGCCGAGTATGATTAACTTGATGAAATCGATCAATTACCATATGTAATTGACTGATATGGTCAGAAAAAGTTGATTTTTTGAAGTGATCATCTTGATCAAAATGTTTGTCGATGAATAATTTCAAACTGCACGCGTTATCATACATCATGCCCCTCGGCAATTTGACTTAATATAATGTCTCCAATAAAAATAATAAGCATCTTCGTACCGATTCACTTCGGTACAACTCGGTGAAAGGACCAATAATTCCATATGGAAAAAACAATACCAGCACTCCGCAACTCGTCAGTCGTTTATCATTTGTTTCTGGTTCGATGCGTGACATGTTACAATCAGAAACAGGATTATCCAGGCAATCATTATCTTCCTCTAAAATCATTCCATCTGCTTCGGTACTTGTACCACCAATGTATGAATGAGTATCGCAGAAATGAGATCCTAAACCCCAGGGATACTGGAGATGAAATCAATTCAAGATAAAGAAACAAGCAAGATGCCTACCTGCTATAGATGTTTCACCACAACCGACAAACACATCACCTAATTCATAATTTTCTTTAATAACATTTTTGAATCGACAGATCGGTCGGTCAATTTTTTGTTGTCCATCGACAACAAAGCAAGAAGAACACGTTGACGATCCACATTTTCTTGTTTCTTTGTGGTTACCCCACATAATGACAAACAGTTTCCACATTTCTTTCTTGATGCCTTCACACCATCGTTTCAACGCCACTTTATCTAACGAAAATGGAATTTCAATCATATAGGAATTGTTCATGAAAAACTTAAACTGACAAACACCAAAAACTAAAAACGCCGATTGAAAATTTTGACGATCTAAAAACACAGGTTGAAAAGTTTGTTGTACTGCCGACGTCCGTTCATCTTGCATCATTGATAAATCATAGATCGTAGCATTATATGCGCTTGTGTAACCGCGAAACGTCGCCCGACAAACAATCACTTGATGAGTGAAATGTATAAATAAAGCCACATCATACACGTTTTTACCACCAACAGAAAAGTATCGCGTTTGTTTAAATGCTGTCTTCCAGTCGCTGCCGACGACTCTACCACCGGTAAGCATTATCAAGTTAGAATAGTTTATTGTGTGCACAACGCCTTCTGCCAAATATCCTGCTGCTTCGCTGTCTTCCAGTCGCTGCAGCCGAATCTACTACCGGTAAGCATTGTTCAGTTCGAGTAGTCTGTTGTCTGCACAACGCCTGCTGCCAAATCTCATAATGCTTCGCTGCCCTCTAGTTGCTGCAGACGAATCCACCACCGGTAAGCATTGTTCAGTTCGAGTAGTCTGTTGTCTGCACAACGCCTGCTGCCAAATCTCCTAATGCTTCGCTGCCTTCTAGTTGCTGCCGACGAATCCACCACCGGTAAGCAATGTCGCATTTTGTCACAATTCTCCGATTTTTTTTTTTTTTTTGCATTATTATGGAGTTTGTCACTATAAAGTAGAGAATTGTGACGAAGACAGCGTTCTGTGTTGTGTCAGAAGTACGATTAGTAAGAAGATGGGTGACAGAGTGACAAAGACAGAGTTAAGGCACGACAAGCAACACAAACTCAGTCCACACCGTATGAGGGTGTTACTATTCCTTGTTCTTATCGAACAACGAAGGATAACTTTCACACGACGAGAGCGAAGCACGATATCACTGTACAATGCACATGTTCTGCTTCTCTACATTAAGTATTTCTTTTCATTCTATCAGAAATGACTCCTTCTTTTAAACATAAACTGTATCTAGTAATTTTCACTCAACAACTGTTGAGATAAATGTGAAAAGCATCATACTTATGGTTCGATCTTGGGAAGTGGTCACCGATCTTCTTACTAATCGTAGTTCTGACACAACAGAGAAAGACAATCCGTCACAATT